ACACCCACATGCCACACCTCACACCACACCCACACCCCACACCCACACCAACACCCACCCACACCCACCTCACACCCACACCAACACCCACCCACACGCCACACTCCCACACCCACACCCACACCCTATATCGCTTTTTTTCATAACTTGTGAAAGATTATAGTTGTTTGTTAAAATTAATTATAAATACTTCAAAACAATTTTTAACAATGTTTCTCTTATGAATATGAGCTATAAACATTCCTTTATCAGTGGTAAAAATATCAGCCCAGATGGTCAAAATATGGCAAAGATATTCAAATTTGTCTTTATTTAGTTACTTTCTGGATACTTTAGATATTGATTGATAAAGATAATATAGAAATCGATATAATTATTTACAATTAGTGATAGTTTATTATAATCTTATATTGAAACTCACTCTCTAACTCTTAATAATTATTTTATCACATCTTCATCTATACCTCATTAAACAATTGATTGAATCATTCAATAGTTTAATAACAATGATTGTCACATCTCAGATTGAACAAACACACTCGTAAACAACCGCAGATCGTTATATATTGATCTGTTACATGATCCAGTATTATAATCGTATTTCTCCATATCATATACGGAGACATACGATCGTAATACTGAATCATGTAATAAATCAAAATACGATGAAATATCAAGTGTATAGGATCATTTCACAGTGCATACAAGTTTCGTGTTCTTCGTTCTAGGATATTACTCCTCGATTAATTTAGTCTTAATGCATAAATGCCCTTTTTTTTTGTCATGATACGTAGTCATTTGGACTATAATTACTATGTTAAAGATAGACACAGGTGAATTTCCGTTTCTAGATCGTATCCTTTCACTCCAGGGAAAATATTATTCTACAAATAGACCTTGTTGTAACATGCTTTACATACTTTAGAAATCTTATGTAAATAGAGTAGCAATATTCGTGGATTGTCCCATATGGAATATACATTTCCACGCAGATAATTTTAGAAAATTCATGCAATTCATGAATATGCAAAATCCTATGAAAACATTATTGCTGAGTATATTTTTTTTGTATAGAACAGAGCACTTTGACAATCAGAAGAGTAATAAGCGCATATTGTTAATAACGCATGATGTGGGTTTATTTGTTACTATATTCATGTCATTTCAATATCTGACAAATATTATTTGAAATATTCCAATCAATATGTAACTTCTTTTTTGTTGTTGTGTATATTTGTCTTATTACAAATCTCAACATGTTATTAATCATATTCTCTTCTGTGCGTTGAAATCGATATATTTTTTTTTCTTGATATACGTATATTAAATTACTTTCATTTTTAGATTTAGTTGTCATGTTTTTGCTCCAATATTTCAATTAAAATATTTCAAAATCAAATAAATCTTTATATAAATTTCATTCGATAAATATTGAAATCATTTATTTAAAATTTTATTTAATTGGTGCAAAAAAAAATATTTTCTTGAAAGAATTCTTTGTGTATATTTTGTCAAATAAATAATAAAAGGGAATTAGGTATTGATTTATTTTTTTTCCTCTTTATTTCTGCAACAATTAGCGACAATTATATGAATCATAGACAAATAGATATACGTGTATATATATTTTTTTTTTTTGATTTTCGAAGATACATGACTAAAAGAACGATATATTTGTAAAGGAATTGACTCTAATTTTGTGATGTCTCTTTTCTTTATTGATCCATAAATCCAGATTCATATAGTTTTTCGACCAATGATGCAAGACCTTGATTGACTGCTTCTTGTGCAAAAATTGGAATTTCTTCTAAACGACCATCATGTATCATTTGAATAATATTTTGAAAATGTGTAAGTTCAGCTGGAGTCATATGAGTTTTTTCAGCAAAATTACGAATTGTTTTTGCCACTAAAAAAAGACAAAAAAAAAAGCAACGATCAATTTTATATGATTTAAAAATAAAAATAAAAAAATTTTACCTGAAAATGCTGATGCCAATGTATCAAACCAGAATGGATTATTTTCTTCGATACTTTTCGCAAGTCTATGGCCAAATATAAATGTATATAATTTTACACCATGTAATCCATATTCAGCTTGAAGAAATTTTTCAATATTTTCTTTAGCTGGTCGTTTAGCTAAAGTTACAAAAAAAAACAAACAAAAGAAATGTTCATTTTTTTGGTTTTTTTTTTTGAAATGCATTCTAAAGAAAATGAATTCTACCTGCGATGCACGTTTCTTCATTTTCATCAAGATTTCCTGGACAATCACCTGGATGACCATCGCAAATAAATTGAAGAGCAATGCATCGTTCACTTTGTGGACATTGAAATGGTTCCGATGGATCAATACATCCTAAATCATCAAAGAATATTCTCTTGTTTTACTAAAAATTGAACTAGAATACGAGGTCATCCAATAATTGAAGATTGAACCTTATTCTCAAGAGATAATTTGCAAAACTTTTATATATGTTTTGTTTTATTAGAAAATTGAAAATTTTCTCAAGAGAAAATAAACAATAATAATAACACGTACCTTTAAATTGATGAGTTGGATGTAAAACATCATAAGGTGATATTGACGAACGTTCATTTGATGCACTACCAATTGGTTTATTTCCAAGCCATTTTTTAAATATATCAATTCGATTGCGATGAGAATTAGTTAACCAAGTTGGTTCATTATTTTGATCAGATAATTTAGCATGTGCGAAAGTAGCATAAATTTGTGTTAATATTGCTAACGAGGAAATTAGAATAGCAAACGAAGGTAAAACAGATTTCATCATTGTTATTGGATCTATTGCTGTCGTCTTATTAGCTTTGTCGCCTTATATACTGAGGAGAAAAAAAACGATATACTAGAAAATAAAAAAAAAAGCTTTAGAAGAATGTAAAACAAAAAAAAAAATGCTTCATTTTGCTTAGATCCGATTAATTTTTAAGTAGAAACGCATAAAAATTTCCTTTTTTTTGTCTATACCAACGACTAAGGTCTAAAATAAAAAAAAAAAAAAGAAGAGATTTAGATATTGAATATTTCCTACACTGTTCTTCTTATTTTTATAATGAATCATCGTCTCGAAAAGATGATTAGACAATAAAAATGTGTGAGAAACAAAAAGAAGATTGATCGCACCTTTGAGATGTCTTTTTTTTTTCTATTAAGTGTAACACTATTGTTTTAGACTTATAGTACCGTTGACATATGTTTTCATAAAAACGATAATCTATTTTAATATATGAATAGGAAGATAAGGAACGGAAACCGAATCATTCAAGTGTAGATTAACAATGATGACACGCACATAGAGATATACATTATATAC